AGAGATAGATGGATAAATCTCATTTTCCACCAAAATCAAAGGGTGATTGGTGTCTAAAATGTTCCTGTTAAAATAAAGATCAAATGATTTTCTCTCCAAACGTTTCCTCTTAGTTCTCGCTGATTTTATTTTATTTTTTACTCACTCTTTCTTCCCATCCTTCAGCAGCTGTTTGGCCACCTGTCTCTCCTTCTCCAGCTGCAGGTTGATCCTCTTCTGATATTGTCTCAGTTTGTCTCTCTGTTGCTTCAGTTGCTGCAAAAACGAAAATAAAAGTTTTCAGATAAACATCCAGGTTTCAGCTTTGGGTTGACCTGTCCTATAAACCACCCAGGAAACCAGCTTCATTTATTTTTCTCTAAAGAACATTAGAAGCTAAATCTTTGTTTATTTTGGTCCTTTTATTTCGGTAATCAGGCCGATTTCACTGCATGTTGATCAAAAGTGAGAAATAATGTAAATAAAACGGTTCCTGATCTCTACGCCTTAGGTTTTAAAACAAAGTTTCTAAATAATTGGATTTGTCTGCGGGGTTTGGTGGGTGAGACGTTAGCCTGTTGCTAATCGGGGCTCCTCACCAGAACAGCTTTATCTTGCTCCGTCACGCGGGACTGTTTCTTTTTTCCAAACAGGTTTCCCATCCTGACAACATTCCAGCTTCTGGATCAGATCAGAAAAATACAAACGGGATCGAAAACGAGCTGTTTTCTAAAAGCAGAGGAGATTTTCCTCCATTATTGCTGAAGTCACCGGAGTCCACACCCACACCCGGAAGTACGGAGGCCGGGCGGAGACAGCTGTAAAAAAACACACGTTAATTTCTAAACATACGGAGCTTTATTACTCAGAATTATGTCTCTTTTATATATTAATAATTCTGCCTGGTCAGAGCGGGGAGAGATTTTTTAATCACTAAAATTACAAATGTATTTTCATTAAAATCCATTCGCTGCCACCTGGTGGACAAACCAGAAAACTGCAGGCTAACATCCTTTCTGGTGTTTCCTTTCAAAATAAAACAAACTCTTTCTAATTCTTGGCTTAGAATCCTGGCATATTTACAATGCAAGTATTTTTTAAGAGGCTATATTAAAAATCTCTCCATATTTATGGCTTTACCTATAAATTTAACTGGATGTTTAACTTGGTTAACACTACTGATGGTTAATGAGGCCATAGATATCCATAATAAAGTGAATGAGGCATCTTGAATCCAAACTGTTGATGCTGGGCTGATTCTGTCTCGCAGAATACTGACACCTGCTGGACATTTAAAGACACTACAGGCAGTTTATTGGACAGACTAAACTGAATTGATTTGATGACCCAGTAGTCTGGATCCTGGAGTCTAGAGTACATATATATGTATTTAGATGCAGCCAATAAGTAATGTAAACATATAGCGTGATAATTTAGAGGAAAATGTGAATGAGGGTGCTTGTGGACTAGGATTTTAAATCATATTTTTAAAACAATAAGTACAGTAAAAACAGTAAATAAACTAAGAGTCGATTTTAAATTATATTTGATTCATTATATTCAGTAAG